ATTTTCCTATCCATTGTAAATCCTACCTCTATGACGTTAATGAGGCAGGATTAGAGGCAGTTATAATAATGAGGCAAGACTCAGTCTACAAGATTAGGTTTTGTCTTAAGTCAATCTCTTTTGAGATATAACAGAGAGAAGTGAGCAGAGAGACAGTGGGACCTCATACCACCAAGAAAGTAGTGCCAGGAGTAGAGCATGTCCTTTGGACCTTGGGTCCCTGGGCTGAGAAACTTCCAGACCAGGGGAAGATTGATGACAAGGACCTTCCTGCAGAGAAAGCCTTCCCCTGGAGCTGGCACTCTGAATTTGGACTTCTAGCCTCCTAGACTGTGAGAAAATAAACTTCTGTTTGTTAAAGCCATCCACTTGTGGTATTTCTGTTATAGCAGCACTAGATCACTAGATAACTAAGAACAGGGTGTTAGATTTTTTCAAATGCTTTTCTGCATCTATCGAAATGATCATGTTGGTTTTTTTTTTTTTTTTTTGGTCCCTTTTTCTATTAATATGATGTATTATACTAATTGATTTTCTGACGTTAAACCAAGCGTGCTTTCCTGGGATAAATGTCACTTGGTCATGGTGTGTGATCTTTTTAATATGTTGCTGGAAACAGTTTGCTAATATTTTGCTGAGGATTTCTGCATCCATATTCATAAGTAATATTGGTCCTGTAGTTTTCTGTTTTTATAAAGTTTTTGGTTTTAGTATCTGGATAATAATAATGGCCTTGTAGGATGAGAGCAAATTAGTTTCTCTTTAAACAATTGTTTTGTGACATTGGTTGCAACATATTGATGTGTCAACACTCTCCCCTTCTCCATGCTGGGTTCCCAGTTTCTATTCGTCCAGTTTTCTTTTCCCTTCCTGCCTTCTTGTCTTTGCTTTTGGGTTGGCATGCCCATTTAGTCCCATATACAAGATTGAACTATGAGGCACGTTCCTCACGTGTGTTATTGTTTATTTTATAGATGTGTCTACTCTTTGGCTGTTGGAGGAACTTTAGGAGTGACTTCTGTACTGAGCTAAAAGGATGTCTGGGGGCCTTACTCTTGGGGTTTCTCCAGTCTCTGTCAGACTAGTAAGTCTGGTCTTTAAAAAACCTTATTTTTAATTAAAACAGTCAATCGATGAACTAAGAGTAGGCATGGTCACTACTGAGAACTGAACTGGTTGTCTGAATGATTGGTCCTAACCCAAAGCCAACCAACAAAGAAATGGAAGCATGAAGGACTAGTAGTTTGAAGAACAGATTCATGAGACCTAACCTGGCAAAAGCCAAAATTCTAGAAAAGACAAATAACAGATGGAAGAGAGTATTACTTAAACAAATACCAGAAAAAAATTCCCTAAGCAGAAGAAAGATTTGAATCTTCATATTGAAAGGGGTCACCAAGACAATAGGTAGGAAACACATACACATCTAGACAAATCCTAGTGGAATGCCCAAATTTCGGGGATAAACAGAAATTCTTGTAAGTGTCCAGATGGTTCTTTCAAAAGAGAGGGAATCAGAGTAGCCTTGAATTTCTCATCTAAAGCACTGGAAGCTAAGTCAGTGGAATAACATGTATAGACAATTGTATGTGTGTGTGTGTGTGTGTGTGTGTGTGTGTGTGTGTATGTGTGTGTGTGGGGAGTGGATTGTGATTCCAGACTTCTATTCCTAGCCAAGAAAGCATTATCTGTCAGAACAAAAGAAAGATGCTTTCAGACCTGCAAGGAGTCAGAGAACATACCCAGTGCAATACTCAAGGAACATTCACAAGAGCAATGTTCTAAGCAAGAGGCCATTAAAACAGAACAGAATTTCCAGACTGGAGAAGACGAAGAGTAGAGAAAACTGAGATGAGCTATGACTCTTGCAACATATAAATTTAAATTGACAGTGTAAATGGGAACTTAGTAAAAAGCAGAGATCCTTGAAAAAGAAGAGACATACTGTAAGAAAAAAAAATTAGCTGGGTACTAAATATTTTAAACAGTATTTGCAAAATCTAACAGTGGGGGTGAAGGCAGGGGCAGAGTTGGAAAATAAACGTTTTGTGTGTCTGTTGGTTTTTAAAGTTTTTATGTTGCTGGGGTTGGGGGAGGAATGGGCAAATCACGCATCTTGGGGGAGCAGAATGATAATTTAGTTTTAATATCTTAGTGGGAAAATATTGGTCCAATTATAACTGTTAGGCAGATAATCATGAGCAGAATTTTAAAAAGCATTGTAGGACTTCAAATTTACAGGAGGGGAGAAAATATACAAACAGAAATTAGACCAAGCCAGCAAGAGTAAGGGAATAGAAAATAGAGAAAACAGCACCAAGGACTATAAACCATAAACATAAAATTTATAGAAAGAATAAAAGCAAGTATACTCATCTACCAAAAGGAAGATATTGTATGAAACAAAACCCAGCTTTGTGTTATTTATAAAAAATGCGTCTAAAAGCAAAGTGACATGGAAAATAATGAAGTAGTTTGAAAGATACCCAAGAAAATATTAACAGAGGTTGCCTCCAGGGAGGGGAACTAGGTAACTGGGGAACAAAGGTAGAAGGGAGGCTTATTTTTTATTATCTACCATATTGTACCTTTTGAAATCTGTACCTTGTATGTATATTACCTTTCCAAAAATTAATTTAGAATTAATAAAAAGAGATGTGCAAAAATATACCAGGCAAATGTAGTAAAACAAACAAAAAACAAAACCAAAAATGTGGCAATATTATCATACAAATGGAAATTAAATTAAAATACATCAAACAAACAGAACAAATAAGAACATTATATATGGATAAAATCAGGTACAATTCAATTCAAGAAAGAGATATAATACCATAAACTGTTTTTCATTGTGGTAATATATATATAACAAAACATTGCCATTTTAATGATTTTTATGTGTACAATTCAGTGACATTAATTATGTTCACCATGTTGAGTAACCATCATCACTATCCATTTCTAAATGCCGTAAACTTGTATGCATCACATAACACAGAGGTCAAATAAATAAAACAAAAACTAGGACTACCCAGCGAATATGAATAACATATTTTTGAGCTTTAGCAGATCAACTAGACAAAAAAATAAGCTATAATATAGAGGATTTAAATAATGCAATCAGTAAGTTCATTTACTAGATATACATACAAATAGAGACTACATACTTTTTAAAAAAAAATTGTGCTTTAAGTGAAGGTTTACAGTTCAAGTTAGTTTCTCATACACACATTGTTATGTGACCCTAGTTGCTCTCCCCATAATGTGACAGCACACTCCTCCTTTCTACCCCGGATTTCTCATGTCCATTCCACCAGCTCCTGACCCTCTCTGCCTTCCCATCTCACTTCCGGACAGGAGCTGCCCATTTAGTCTCATGCATCTCCTTGAGCTAAGAAGCACTCTCTTCATGAGTATCATTTGATGTCTTATAGTCCAGTCTAATCTATGTCTGAAGAGTTGGCTTTGGGAATGGTTTCAGTTCTGGGCTAACAGAGAGTCCAAGGGCCACGTCTTCTGGGGTACCTCCAGTCTCAATCAGACCATTAAGTCTAGTCTTTTTACTAGAATTTGAGTTCCGCACCCCACTTACCTCCTGCTCCATCAGGGACTCTCTGTTGGAGAATATGTACTTTTTAATGATCTGAAATAGTTACAATTCAATAATTTATTCAGCCAGAAAGAAAGCTTTATAAATCCCAAAGTTCTTATTTTAAAGGCCATGCTCTCTGATCATGAACTCAGAAACTGGAAATTAACAATGAAAAGATAACACTAATGAAAACCCCTTATCAATGAATTTTAACAAACACTCTCCTAAATAGCCTTTAGATCAAAGAGGAAATAAAAACTGAAAGTGTAAAGTATCTGGGAAGTAATGAAGAGAAGAATACCTCATTCTAAAACCTATGGGATACAGCTAAAGCTGTTCTCAGAGTAAAATTTATAAAAAGATTGAGAATACTTTAACTGAGAATTCAATTCAGAAAAGAAGAAGAAGAATAAAATGGGACAAGATCAATTAGGACAGTATTAAGATAAACTCAGTACAAGATAGTGGAAAAGACTAATCAAGAGGATGTGTTTTCAAAATATGCCTTTGAAAACACCTAGGAGAATTAACACTTCTCAAACAGGACACTTGTTACATTGGACTCGATGGTGACAGGATCGTCCCTATGACATCAAAGCTTTACCACAGACAGAGGGGTGCACAGGTGATATTTTGAAACTATCGGGTTCTGGCTAGTTAAGTTTCTACTACATGACGTGATAAAGAGCCAGAGATCAATGCAAAATGATTTATTGAGGTCAGTTAGTGGGCAGAGGAGGAGTGACCCGCTCTGTAGAAGGCATAAGAAGGACCTAGTACCACATGGGAGGGCTGAGGGAAGCCAACAGAATGCAGGAACAAGGGGAAACTGGGATTGTGTTGAAACTAATTTTTTCTGGTGTTGTTGTGTGCCATCAAATCAGTTATGACTCATAGTGATGCTGTATAAAGGAGCCCTAGTGGCACAGTGGATAAAGGGATTAACTGCTAACTGAAAGGTCAGCAGTTTGAAGCCACCAGTGGCTCTGTGGGAGAAATATGTGGCAGTCTGCTTCTGTAGAGGTTTACAGCCTTGGAAACCCTGTGGGGTCGCTATGAGTTGGAATCAACTTGATGGCAGTGGGTTTGGTTTGGTTTTGGGGACCCTATATAAAGTAGAATTGCCCCACAGGGTTTCCTAGTCTGTAATCTTTAGAGAGCAGATTGCCAGGTCTTTTCTCCCGAAGAGTGGCTGGTGGGTTCCAACTGCTACCTTAACTGTTTTGCCACCAGGGCTCCTTTGAGACTAATTAGTAGGGCTGAATTGGGATACATGGAATGCAACAGGGATTTTGGTCATCTTTGGGGATATGACACTTGGTCCTGGGCAGAGGTGACTCCTTGGCTGGCCCCTGGAGTCCAGAAGAAGCTCCAGGCTGAGGTCTGCAGTAGCAGATAGACACCACACCTAAGTGTTCCAGAGGACAATGACAGTGATGATGGAGGAGGCCATGAACAGCATATAAAAGCCAAAGAGCAGAGTGTCGATCATGTGGCTAAACTGCACCCACAGGTCAACCAGGTGCTGTTTCTGGGCCTCAAGTTCCTGCTGGGCCCTTGTTGATTCAGGGTGCCCATTTAACTCTGCCTCTTTAGGATTGGACATCTTCCCCACCAACTCCAGTGGTTCCTTCAGGCCTGTGGAAAGGACAGAGACTCATCCATGGGCTGGGAAGTTCACCTGGGGAGGGAGGGTGACAGGGAAGGAGGCAGGAGCAGAGGAGTGAAGGTACTGGAAGAGGGAGTGTGGGTGCTGACTTCCCTTACTAGGCAGGTGGATGGGGGTGAGACCCAGGCCCTATTTCCCTGCTGGGGTGCAGCGAGGCAGCACTTCCTGGGGCTGGTATAGTGCAGCAGAAGAGAATGGAGCCACTGAGGCATGGGTGGGGGCTTGGCGGTGTCCAGATGCAGCAGGTAGGTGATGAAGACAGTCTCCAGCAGGCTGACCATCATCAGGGACAGACACAGGGCAAAGTAGACACTTGGAGGGAAGGCAGCCCTGTGTTAGGGCCACAGACACTGCTGAGGACTTCTTTCCTCTCTTCCAATCCTACCCTGGCAGACAGAGTCTCCTTTTCCCAGTATGTCCCCTTCCCTGAGCTAGTTCAGTCTGCCGTTGCCACCCTTTGGTCTTCCCAAAGATTGGAGGGGCCATACTGATGAGGGAGGTGACACTGGTGGGGAGTAGGTCACTCATCATGAGCAGGAAGACGTTGTAGCCCAGCAGAAGAGTTATCTTGAATGGGGCACAATTCCCACTCTCTGCAGGCAGGTAGAAGCTGAGGGCGTCAATGGCAATCAGAAAGCCACTGGGCACCAGAAGGTTTCTCATGTAGAGCTTGGGTCTGTGCCTGATGGCCACCTAGAGGGAGTGACGGGGAAGAGGAAAAAGAATATGGGATTCTGAGGCTGCCAGGAACAGGAGTGACCATTTCTGTCTCTGCCCTTCTCATTGGTCTGATTCCACTATGGTCAGAAGCTGTGTGAGATGCAGCTTCATAATTTGATGTAGAACCTGCCAAGGGGAAGTTAGGCCACCGCTGTGAGCTTTAGGAAGGAGAGTGAGGCTGGGCAATCAGGAGAGAGGGTCTCATCTCAGAGGAGGTTCTGGCCTCAGGTAGAAAGAAGAATGAGAAACCCTAAGACTTGCGTGGTGATTCTAAGCAGGGGGAAAGGAGCAAGCAAGGAAGGAAAAACAAGGGCTTCTGAGCTCACATAAAACATCATCTGATCCTATATGTTGGTGCCTACAGACATCTTCGGGGTGGCCTTGTTGATGCTCAGGAGCTCCCACTCCCCGTAGGTCTGGACGATGTCCTGGGATGTGTCTGCTATTCCCCACACTTCCTTCTCCATGCCCAGCAACATGTTATCCGCTAAAAGCAAGAACCATCCAAATTGTTTTCCAAGGAGAGTTTCCTGGTGGCTCAACCGCCCTCTTCTTTTCTAGCCTTTCCTTCAACAAATGTTTATTGAGTGCCTACCATATGCCAGGGACTTTGCTAGGAGCTGGGGATAGTAATGAACAAGACAGACTTGGATTCTGCCTTTTAACCATCCATACAGCCTTATCCTTTGCTTTCCTATGCACCCCACCAGGTCACTATTTACTCATAGTTTCTTTATATTTTATTTTCTGTTGCTTCATTGGTTGCTCTCATTTATTCCATCCCTGAGACTTCACCGCAACTCACCTGTGTACAGGAAGGAGCTGAAGGTAAGTGTGCAGTTCTGCTGGTCAAAGGGGAAGTAGAAGATGTCCAGGTTACAGATACTGGTCACCTGCATTGGTTTCTTATACCTGATGCAACCTTCATTACTTACATATGCCATGAGGCCTTTTGGGGTCTTATCCACATCCATGCTGTAAGAGACATGAGGTAGGGGGCAGGGGCAGTGGTTTTCCTTACTTCTTACCTTCTTACTACTTTTCTCCTGTGATCATTTGTTGGCCATGTAAGACCATTTATAGTGGCTCCAGTGGTAGACTGTGAACTCTACTGATAGCAGGAGATGGGGATTCTCTGTGGTTTTCCCCAGCCCTCGATACCCACAACTCAATGATGAAAATGTCTGGGAGCCGCAGGTTTTGGGTTGCCACACTGATCTTTGTGATATCCTGACACTCCTCCGGGTTCCAGCTGATACATGGGTTATCCCAGACCTACAGCCCATGTGGAGGAGAGAGAAGAGCCTGGTATCAGTCAGGGTTATATTCTCCTGCACTTTGATTTCTTCGTAAAAAAGAAAAGTTAGGAAATATTTCAAACGCATAGAAAAGTATGTAAAATAATATAGTAAACATTTGTGTTTCTATCACCAAACTTTGTGAAGTTTTAATATTTCAATACATTTGCTTCTGCTTTTTCCCAAGAAATAGCAATTACAGAGAATTGAAGTTCCTGTGTCCATTTCTTCATAAACTTGGATCCCTATGCTTTCCTGCTTCTGTGGGAAATTACTAAGGATCAGGGAAATCCTCTCCTTTCTGCAGTAGGAATGAGGTTCAGAGCTGAAAGATCAGTGACTCAGTCTCTATGAGGCATAATTTCCTTACTATGAAGTAAGGGTAGTAAAAATAGTTGCTGTGAAGTCGATTCTGACTCATGGCAACACCACGTGTGTCAGAGTAGACTGTGCTCTATAGGGTTTTCAGTGGCTGCAGACTTTTCTTCAGGGTCACCTCTGGATGGATGGATGGACTTGAACCGCCAACCTTGAAAGTCCACCCAGTCAATTCCGACTCATAGTGACCTTATAGGACAGAGTAGAACTGCCCCATAGGGTTTCCAAGGAGCAGGTGGTGGATTTGAACTGCTGACCTTTTGGTTAGCAGCCAAGCTCTTAACTACTGTGCCACCAGGGGTCCTATCATGTATTAGAATCTAGTAAGGTCACAACTGTGTTCCAGGCCTCTCTTACCAGCCTCTGTTGCAAGGAGACCTTCAACAAGCCCTCGGATTCCTTGGTCGAGAGACTTCCTTTCCTTGGTGGGTGCTAGGTATCATCCTCTCTTGTGTCTTTGTCGACCAGCTGTCCTTCCAAGGGTGGCATCCTTCCCTGGAAACTGTGTTTTGTCCAACTCTGGGTGGGCTTGTCTAGTTTCTGGGCACTTTCAAGGTCAATGGCTGCAATCTGTTTAGCCACAGCCGGAACAGGGGGGCTCCGTGCATAGCAGATAAAGTTTGTACTTCCCAGACTTCACTGAACATACAAAGTTGCATCTGGAGATCTTGTTGAAATGTAGATTTGGCTTCAGTAGGTAAGGGGGGCAAATCTTTTTGGCTTGCCGAGGACTTATTTGGTTTTACAATTTTAAGTCCTATTCTGGCGCAGTGGTTAAGCGTTTGGCTGCTAACCAAAAGGTCAGCAGTTCAAATCCACCAGCCTCTGCTTGGAAACCCTATGGGACAGTTCTACTCTGAGTCGGAATAGATTCAATGGCAACAGGTTTATATCCTGAGAAACCTGTCAGTCCTGGGCATGCTGGGATGGTTGGTCACCCTAGATGGCGCCCGAGACCCAGTGCATGTCTGATGAGCTCCCAGGTGGTGTAGTCAGTCTGTGCTGCGGTCTGGGAGCCATACTTTGATAGCAAGGTTAGGTAATCGTTACCATCCTTCTGCTGCTCCCTGCCTGTCTTAGTCATCTAGTGCTGCTATAACAGAAAGACCACAAGTGAGTAGCTTTAACAAACAGAAATTTATTTTCTCATACTTTAGTAGGCTGGAAGCCTGAATTCAGGTTGCCGGCTCTAGGCGAGGGCTTTGTTTTTCTGTCTGCTGTGGAGGAAAGCACTTGCCTCTTTGAGCTTCTGCTCCTAGGCGATCTTCATGTGGGTTGGCATCTCTCTTCCCCCATCTCTGCTTGCTTGTCTAATCTTTTATATAGGCAGTCCCCAGATTATGAACAAGTTCCGTTCCTAAGTCTGTCTTTAAATTGAATTTGTACATAAGTCAGCACGGTTAGGTACGGTTGGTATCTAACGTCAGTTGGTCAAATGTTTGTCTTAGTATATAGTATACAGGGTACCTTTATATGCAGAACAAGCATTAAAGAAACACTTCCAGATGCACTAAAACATCTTAACGTAATAATACAACTAATAATAATGTTTTGATGCGCGTTGCAAAGTAGTGCCCATTTTTATTGCAAATCACTGTGTGTTCCACGAATTTTTAATATAATAGACTTTAGAGGGGTTGTATGTAAGTCCAGTCGTTTGTAACCCAGGGACTGCCTGTATCTCAAAAGAGATTGATGCAAATTACACCCTACACTAATTCTGCCTTATTAACATAATAAACACAACCCATTCTCAAATAGGATTATAACCACAGGCATAAAACCAAACCAAACCCCTTGCTGTGGAGTGGATTCCAACTCATAGAGACCCCATAGGATAGAGTAGAACTGCCCATAGGGTTTCCAAGGCTGTAAATCTTTACGGAAGAAGACGGCCACGTCTTTCTCCTGCAGAGAGGCTCTGTAGGTTCAAACAGCTGACCTTTTGGTTAGCAGCCAAGCACTTTAACCACTGGGCCAGCAGGGCTCCTCACCACACAAAAATACCCGAATCCATTGCCGTCAGGTCGATTCTGACTCACAGCAACCCTATAGGACAGAGTAGAACTGCCCCATGGGGTTTCCAAGGAGTGGCTGGTGGATTCAAAGTGCTGACCTTTTGGTGAGCAGCCGAGCTCTTAACCACTGCGCCACCAGGGCTCCTCCACATAGACAGAGAGGTTAAGATTTACAACATACATTTTTTGGGGGACACAATTCAAGCCGTAACACTGCCCTTGGCTTTGCATATTGGAAAATTACTTCATTTACTTTCATTTTGTTTCCTTCCTTTCTATTCAGTGCCCTTAAGATATAAATTTTCCACTGAGTTATGAATTGACTACATTCTATAGATTTTCATATTCAGTGCTCCTTCTTTCTAATTATTTCATAATTTCTATTTGATTGTTTTATTGTCTCTTTAGCCTCAAGTACTTGGAAGTTTAATTTTAAATTCCCAAGTAGTAAGATTTTGGGAGGGACTGTCCTTTTTTAGTTAATTTCTATTTTATTGTAATGCAGTCACAGAATGTGGTGTAGATAATTTCTGCTTCTTGATTTGGTTGAGATCAGTGGCATCGTTAGGGTTGGTGGCACCCAGTGTGGTAGCTCACGGTGTCACCCCCACCCCCCACCCCCGCCACCATGGAGCTCCTCTTGTATCAGACCATACAAAATCCTTAGTAATGTTTATCAATTTTAATCATAGAATAATACGTGATATAGTTGTAAATTGCTTCAATATAGTATTTCTTAGATTATATGAATACTAACAACAAAATTGTTTTGTATAATCTTTCTACATTGAATTACAGCATTATTCTTTACAACATTATTAGTAACTAAGTGGAAGACTTTTTCAATTTTTCTCCTTTTCTTTTAATAACTACTTCGTTCTCAAAAAAGTTATTGATACAGGTTCACAAATACTACTTACCACAATATCGTAGCTAAAACACCAGAAAATATGACAAAATCAGCAACTATAAAAACTCTAGCAGCAACGAAGCAACAGTGCTTGCAGATGAAACCACGTGATTCGAAGCATCATTGTAAATGGGTAATAATGACAGCTCTGACTGGAGTGCATTAGAAGGTTCAAAAAGTAAATTAGCATAGAGTTTTAGCCTTGTAGGTATATTGATACATGTAAGCTGGGCTTACAAAAAATGTTCTTATTGTTATAACTAACTACAGAGATATTTTTATAAAAAATAATAAATTTCTGCAGAAACACTGCTCAGAAATTTTCTAGACAGTCATTTTGGTGTCACCCCCTCTGACAGTGTCACTTGGTATAGTCCCCACCCACCTCACTGGTTGAGATCTATGTTACAGCCACAAATATGGTCAGTTTTCAGGAATACTCCATGTGGGTCAGAAAAGATTGTGGCTACTCCTGGGTACTAAGTTTGATATATTTATTAGATCAAGCTTCTTAACTGTGCTTTTAAAAATCACTGTCTATTTACTCTTATTCTACCTGATTTTTAAATGCAGCACATTGAAGCCTGTCCCTGTGATTGTGGGTTTTGCAACTTCTCCTTCATGTGTTTCAAACCTGTGTCGTCAGGTACATAAAGGGTCATACTTATTATATCTTTGTTTAAAATCCTTTCTGACTCTAAATGAAGGGGAGAATAAGCAGTGTTTGCCATACCATTTCCAGCCACAGGAATGATGACAAGAGCTGAAGCTGTTCATCCTCCAGAAGAATTTCCCGTTGCCAGCATGTGCCAAGAAGAAGTCTGTCCACCCCACCTACTTTTGTTTCCCAACTCACAAGGTATGTGAAAGTGATGCTGTGGTCAAATAAAAAGCCAATATTATAGGTCAAGGACAAAAGTTTGATCAGAACAGTTGTGTTAGGCCACGGGCAGGAGAGTTCTGGATTAAAGTAGTGCTTCTGAACATTGGCTCTACATTAGAATCAGGTGGGGAGCTTAAAAAATACCGATGCCCTCCATCCAGTCAGAACCTCTTGGGGTATGCTGCCATGGGTATTTAACCACGGAAGAGAATCAGTGGGTGAGAAGAAAAGAAATTCTCTTCCATGTGGTGGTAGACTTCACCCTGCTGAACTGGACAGAGCTTCTTTGAGATCCCCAACGCCATGGAGCAATGGTGGAGTAAACTGCAGTGTGGTTGAGGGCTTTGTGGGGGTTGCCTTATCAGGGGCTGGGAAAGAGTTAAGGACGACAAGGAGGGGCTAGCGGGGTCATGGCTGATCACATCCTGCATGGCAGACAGGGTGAAGGAGATGCTGACTTGGTGGGGATGCTGAAGTTGGTGACTGGACGGAAGGCTTTTCTGTCAAATACTGAATCCAGAAGAGTGGAATCCATCCCCTGCTGGCCAAACCCCGAGCAACTGATGGTGAAAGTATCGTCCCTTCCTGTAGTGGACAAAGAATGTGTGTGATGAGAGAGAGAATCCTGTATTCTTTACATGAGAGAGGTCCTGGGGCAGAAGCCTTTTTAGCCTGTGATAATAGTAAGAAAACAAACACCAACTGCCATTGAGTTGATTCCGACTCACGGAGACCTCACGTGTTTCCGTGTAGGACTGCCCTGCACAGGGTTTTCAATGTCTGTGATCTTTCGGAAGTGATCATCAGGCTTTTCTTCCAAGGCACTGCTGGGTGGATTCAAGCGCTTAACCATTTTCATCTTCCAGGGACCCCCTAATAATTATGGTAGATAACATTTGTTGAGTACTTACTATGTGCCAAGTATATTCTCAGCCCTTTAAATGGATCACCTCATTTAATCCTGTCAAAGCCTTATCTGGTGGGTACTATTTTTATCCTCATGTAATAAATCAGTAAACTGAGGTACAGTAAGATCAGTTACCTTCCCAAGGTCACATAGACAATGAGAGGCAGAAACTAGGCTTGGTCTGAATCCAGGTTTGTCTGATGCTGCTGTGTTATACACCCCAGGGATGCAGTGGGGAATGGGAGGGGGCCACTGAGAGGTGTCCAGATGCTGGGTCCTTCCTGGCAAGAAGAATGGGCTGGGCTAGAAGGCAAAGGTTGGCAGCTACTGTGGTAAGCTGAGCTAGGGTGTCTACCTCCTTTCTAACCTTTCTGTCTCTGTGCAAAGCCTGCCCAAATCTGTATGCAAATGGCACCTTGGGGCAGTGATAACCCTTAGATAGGAGTACAGTCCAGGGCCCCAGAGAAAATACCTGTTTTAACCTTAACTGCCCCAATCTGCCTTCTCCCTTCTTTGCTGATCAACACTGTTATCAGCCTTCCCGTTTGAGGCTTCTGGGGTGTTGCCTTCCCTCCTGTTCAGATTAATAAAGATTCCAGTTTTTTGCCGGCAGAGATTTGTTGGAGGAACTACAGCCTAAAATGAGAGAGATGGCTGATGACCTCTTTGCCAAGGACATGGAACCTTATCCATTCCCAAAGTCACAGTGTTCTCCGGGCAAATCTCTGAATCATCCTCTGAGCAATGAATAGTCATTTGTCAATCACAGTCTGTGGTGCTCAGAGGTGAATTTATAATGTTTTCTACTGCCCACAACCGGTGTGGGGCCCTGGTGGTGCAGTGGTTAAAAGCTCTTGGTTCAAACCCACCAGTAGAAAGATGTGGCAGTCTGCTTCCATAAAGATTGGGGCGCTGGTGGCGCAGTGGTGAAGAGCTCAGCTGCTAACCCAAAGGTTGGTAGTTCATATCTACCAGCCACTCCTTGGAAACCCTATGGGGCAGTTCTACTGTGTCCTACGGGGCCGCTATGAGTCAGAATCGACTTGGTGGCAGTGGGTGGGGGTCTAAACCAAAACCCACTGCGTCGAGTCAATTCCCACTTATAGGCTGTAAATCTCTGTGGAAGCAGACTGCCACATCTTTCTCCCACGGAGTCACGGGTAGTTTCGAACCGCCAGCCTTCTGGTCCGCAGCCGAACACATTAACCACTGCGCCACCAGGGCTCCTTTGGTTTAGACCAGGGGTGCAATCTGTGCCCCTTCCCTGTGCTGAGCTCTGAAGCCACCTCTTGTTCAGTGCTCTTCTGTGCCCCCTTATCCAGAAGCCACGGGACAACCTAAGGGGGAGGAAAGACACTGGTGACTATCAAACGCCAGGCACTGTGCCACACACTTTGTCTTATTTGAATCTTCACAACCCTGCCAGGTGAGTCCCGTTTCACAGGTGAGGAAACAGGAGCTGAGAGAAGTCAGGCAACTCACCCGAGGTTACACGACTAGCAAAGTGAGGGGCCAAGATTCAAACCCAAGTCTGTCTGGCTCCAAATCCCGTGTTCTTTCCACTCTGCCAGGTTACCTCTGTTCTAACCCTCTGGCATCCTACCTAACCTAGATCACTTTGATGCATAGGTGGAAGGAGAAGTTATGGCTAAAGTAGGTGGGCACTTTGCTACAATAGGGTGGGTTTCATGCTGTACATAGAGAATTACACCTGGACCTAGAAAGACGGATGGACATAGAGAAACGGCTGAATGAAAGAGAACACAATTATGGTAACGTTGTTGTTGTTAGGTGCTGTCTAGTTGGTTCCAGCTCATAGTGACCCTACGGGACAGAATAAATTTGCCCCGTAGGGTTTCCAAGGAGTGGCTGGTGGATTTGAACTGCTGACCTTTGGGTTAGCAGCTGAGCTCTTAAAACACTCTACCACCAGGGCTCCAACTATGGTCACGTAGTCATGGAAAATTCTAATTATGTCCGTTTTAGAGACTCTCCAGGAGTGGGAGATTTGAAAGAAGAAGAGAGAGGCTTTTTCCTTCCTCCCCTGTTGTTGCCCCTTCCTTACCTTGAAGGAGAAGACTGAGAAAAAGGTTGAAGAGGAATCTCTTCCTGTGGAACCAGCTTCCTTCCATTTTCTTTGTCTGAGTTCTTCTCTGAGCATACACCAGGGCCCCCAACCCCCAGATTAAAGAAGCATAGGCCACACCTAGAGTTTAGCTCTGAACGTGGCCTATGGGCTGACCACTGACGTTGGTAACCTTCTTGGAAAGAGTGTTCTTTGTGGCCAGAGTGTACTCTTGCTTTGTTCTTGCCCGCATTTGAGGTTCAGTTTGCTTGTAAGACTTTCTCTATCGTTGATATTTCACTACAATGTGTAGAGTTGTGGATTAGTTTATATTTATCATATTCAACCTTGGCCAATCTAAAAATTCATTGCTTTAATTCTGAAAAACTCTCAGCCATTTCAAAAACATTTGTATTTCTTGTATCCTTTCTCTTCGTGAACACATGTGGATCATTTCATTCTATCTTAAAAGCTTCTTAACCTCTGTTACTAGTTTCCAATTGCTGCTGCAAGGAACCCTGGTGGCACAACAGTTAAGCGCTCAGCTTCTAACCGACGGGTTGGCAGTTAAACTCACCCAGAGGCTCTGTGGGAGAAAGACCTGGAAGTCTGCTTCTATAAAGATTACAGCCTAGAAAACCCTATGGGGCAGTTCTACTATGTCATATGGGGTCACTGTAAGACGAAAATCTACTCGATGGCACCCAGCAATGACAACATTGCTGCTGTAACAAATTACCACAAACTTAGTGGCTTAAGAGAACACAAATTTATTACCTTACAGTTCTGGAGGTCAGAAGTCAAAAACGGGTCTCACTGAGCCATGTCAGTAGGGCTGTGTTCCTTCTGGAGGCTTTCCCAGCTTTTCGAGGCTGCCTGCATTCCTTGACTCATAGCCCATTCCCGCATTTTCAGAGCCAGCAGTAGTGGGCTGAGTCTTTCTGTCATCTGTCTGGTTCTCGTGCTCTTCTTGCTCTCTCTTCCAGTTTTAAGGACCCTTGTGATTACATTGGATGATCCAGAATAATCTCCTCATCTCAAGATCAGTTGAATAGCAACCTTAATTCCACCTGCAACTTTGATTTCCCCTTTGCTGCATAACCTAATATATTCACAGGTTCTAGAAATTAATATGTGGACATTTTTGGGGGAGGGGGCATTACTCTGCCCACCACACTTTTTTCCCTATTTTCCCCATCTTTATCTGTTTCCTGAGTGATTTTCTCAGATCTAGCTCCCAGGTAACAAATTCTCTCCTCAACTGTGCTTAAATTTATATCTAATCTGAGTTTTTAATTTCAGTGCTTGTATTTTTCATTTTTAGAAGTTCTATTTGGTTCTTTTAAAAATCTATTTCTTCTTTTCTTTTTTTGTAATGCTCTGTTCTTTAATTTTGGTTTCCATTTTTTCTTTCATTATTTGGAACAGGTTTATTTTATAATCTCTTTTAGATTATTCTGTTATCGCTAGTTCTTGGTGTACTAACTGTTTTGCTAACTTTTTCTCATTGTGGCTTGTTTCCTCATATGATTTGTGATTCTCGATTGTAAACTTATCATCAGTAGGAGATTATTTCTGTGGGAGTTTCATGTGCCTTGGGTTGTGGAAGTTTCCCTACAGAGAAAATTTTCATTTGCTTCTGCCATTTGCTTTTTTTTTTTCTATTAATTTTTAGGAATCCCACACCATGTGGTTAGTGTAAATTTAGGTTCCACACCCACATGTGACACAGGCTTGACATTTCAATTCCTTGCACATGCCTTTTTTCCCTCTCCCTCTAGCTCCAAGTCTTTGGCTGCATTTGAGGCTCTGAGATTCCAGGAGTAGTGAATGGCCACCTCAGAGACATATCAGAAAAAGATTAAAAATAAGTTTTAATCCAGAAAAAAAACAAGATTATATAAAGCATGGATTTCTTGTCATGAGAGGATCAATTGTGGTCACAGAGGAGACTGAATGGTATAGTCTCCAGATTTGTTTTGGGTAGTTATTGGGCCCCGTGAACCAGTGATCACAGTATTCCGCTGTTTATAAAAGACCTGTTTAGAATTTCGTTTAAGAGGTTGCTCAGGATCCAACAGGATGTGGAAATTATCGAACAATATCATTGATATCGCACACAAGTAAAATTTTGCTGAAGATAATTAAAAAATGGTTGCAGCAGTACATCAACAGGGAACTGCTAGAAATTCAAGCCAGATTCAGAAGAGGACATGGAATGAGGGATACCATTGCTGATGTCAGATGGATCTTGGCTGAAAGCAGAGAATACCAGAAAGATGTTTACCTCTGTTTTATTGACTACGCAAAGACATTCAGCTGTGTGGTTCATAACAAATTATGGGCAACAGTGCCAAGAAAGGGAATTCCAGAACACTTAATTGTACTCATGAGGAACCTGTACATAGACCAAGAGGCAGTCACAGTCATTTGAACAGAACAAGGGGACACTGTGTGGTTTAAAATCAGGAAAGGTGTGTTTCAGGGTTGTATCCTTTCACCATACTTATTTAATCTGTATGCCGAGCAAATAATCCCAGAAGCTGGACTATATGAAGAAGAACGAGGCATCAGGTTTGGAGGAAGACTCATTAACAACCTGTGATATGCGGGTGACACAACCTTGCTTTCAGAAAGTGAAGAGGACTCGAAGCACTTACTGATGAAGATCGAAGACCACAGTCTTCAGTATGGATTACACCTCGGCATAAAGAAAACAAAAATCCACACAACTAGACCAATAAGCAACATCATGATAAACAGAAAAGATTGAAGTTGTCACGGATTTCAGTTTGTTTGGATCCACAATCAACACCCATGGAAGCAGCAGTCAAGAAATCAAACATGCACACCTATGTTCATGGCAGCATTGTTCACGATAGCAAAACGATGGAAACAACCTAGATGCCCATCAACAGATGAATGGATAAACAAACTATGGTACATACACACAATGGAGTACTATGCAACG